AGCTCAGCTCTGCCTATGTGGAGATTAAGCTATGAGATCCCCATCATCCAAGTCTTGGTGGCTTCAAGTTCAACTTGTAAGCTTCTAAAGATATATTACAAAGGGATATGTACCAGAAAAGTAAACGAGAATGGGACCAATCAACTACCTCTCAGGCAAAATTATCAGCCAGAAGATTCCAGGAGAAGAATTCAGTTTAAACATTTATTGCTTGCGTAGTTTAAGAACAAGCACGGAGATGTGTCTGCACTGGGCAGAATTTAAAACAAGAATATAGTCAGGCTTTAAAAAATCATTCCGCCTGTAGTCCCAGCACTCTGGGAGGCCGAGGCGGGCAGATCCACGAGGTCAGGATATCAAGACCATCCTGGCCAACATGGTGAAACCCCGTCTCTACTAAAAATACAAAAATTAGCCGGGTGTGGTGGCGCGCGCCTGTAGTCCCAGCTATTCGGGACGCTGAGGCAGAAGAATCGCTTGAACCCGGGAGGCAGAGGTTGCAGTGAGCCGAGATCGCGACACTGCACTCCAGCCTCCAGCCTGGCAACAGAGCGAGACTATGCCTTAAAAAAAAAAAAAGCATTCCGAGCACGTTGGTAGGGAAGTAAATTAAGGAAAGTGTTGAGCTCCAAAGATGGCTGCGTCCGCACAGCCTGCACACGGTAACTTCACTGCTTCCTGCGGCAAAAGCAGCGGTTCCTACAGCAACCCGCAATTCAATGTCTACGCGCAGCGATGCCTGCGCCCCAGGTGCCTGGATCGATGCCTCTCCCAAGGGCGATCTGCTCGGAAAGGCAGGCGCCGCAGACCCGGGTTTTCTTCTTTCTTGAATCACTTTTATTTTCGCTAATCTCATGCCAGATTGTTGAATCACTTTTTAATGACTTGCACTAAGATGTGATCTGAGCTCTTTTTTTTCCCCACGCTTTACTTTCTTCCTTCCTCGGTAAAGACTCTTCTTGACACTTCCCGCCCCCGGGCCCCGCCCCAAACCCCCGCTCCGCCTGCAACTCCAAGATTTTCATCACTGGAGCGGAGCGGGGCGGCAGTCTCGGGAGGCGGCGCCCCCTGCTGTATTTAGCGCGCTCCCGCAGCCGGGGCTGCTCCCGAGGCCCGCGCCACCTGCAGGGGGAGCGGGAAGCGCGCAGGGGCTGCCCCAAACCAAGCTGCCCGCCCGGCCGCCGCCTCGTACTCACTCGCCAGGGTGGTGACGGTGCTGATGCTCTCATCTCCGCCGACGCTGTATCGTGGGCCCAAGAAAAAAAATGAAAGGTTAAAATGCCAGCCATGCCGAGACCCTTCAGACAGCAGCAGAAACGCCCGTCTCCCGAGAAACAGCCTGGGGCCTTGGAGCTTGCCCTTCTCCCCATCAGTTCAGTAGAAAAACGGAAAAGCAAACCAGAATACGACTTCCCTCCCCATAGGCCAGAACAGCCAAACAAAAAGCCAGCTTTAAAGCAGGGCTGATTTTTGCAGATGTTGGGGCGGGGGAGCTAAGTTGCCTCCTTGCACCCCTGCTTTCAAAGGGGAAGTAGTCCCTCTTCTGCCAGCACCGTTCCAGCTAGCCACTGCAGCGGGTGTTATTATTATTGGTGGAAATGTCGTTTTTAAAAAGTTGCTCTATTTCTTCTCTCTTCTTTTCCTGTTTGGCTTGGAAAAGCCGTTTTTAAAAGGTGTCTTCTAGAGAGTCAGCCAACTTCCAAACCAATACGAAAATTCCAAGGTGATCAAAGTTAGATGGGTCTCTAGGCATGAAAATATGCAGCGTTCCAGAGTGGACTGGATTCCCTGCTTTTCCACAAGCGTGTCTAGGAGCATCTAAAAGGTTTCCCAAATGTTTGGGTTTTAACTGTGCAGCAACATGAGGAAGGATGCCAGACACTCGGCACCCAGGTTAAAGCAGGTGTCAGATGGAGATGCCAGATTCCAGGTGCGGAAACACCGAGCCTGCCCGGGCTTGTGGCAGAGGTTTGCTCACATGCAGAGCAGAAATAAGCCTGCCCAAAGTGAGACATGATAAGGGAATGCACTGGTAGGGGCCAGGAAACATCTGCTCTGCTTTGTGATCTTTTACCATCTGGCTGTGTGATCTTGGTCAGGTTACTTGCCCTCTCTGAGTCTTGTTTCCTCATCTGTCAAATAAAGGCCCTCTAATAACAATGCCAGTTACCAGCTACTTACTTTGTGTCAAGCACTGTGCTGGCCACTTAAATTCTGCCTAGTCCTCAGACGGTGCTTAGGTAGTAACGTTATTTCTGCATCAGACATGAAGAGAGAAGCTGGGCATACAGCTGGGCAGCTAGGGCTCAGTTACAACTCTGGTTCCAAAGGCAATGATCTGTGCACCACTCAGGCCACTGCCCGCTTCTGAGATCACATCACAGAGGGAGAAATGGAAGCCAGAGAAGCATTTCCAACCCATTTATATAGTTTCTCTCCTAGACTCCTTGCTCAGGGCTCAGCTACTGTTTTGGGCAATGTAGTGGTTTGAGGAGGATGGTGAATATCTCTTTCAAATGAAACCTAGAAGTTTGTCATAGTAAAGAACAAAGTGGCCCATCCCTCTGCTTAAAGCGTTGTTTTCTAGGATGCTCAGGGGGTTTCCCTTGCCCTGCAATGAAGGGGACTTTGGGGCCTTGCCACACCCTCACTCACCTCCAGGACAGGCCTCGGTACTGAGTCAAGACGTCCAAGATGTTTCCGGATGTGGACCCAGCCCCATTGCCTGCCTGAGAGGAAACAATGAGGGGGTGAGTTTCTCTGCCTTCCCCAGTGACCCCCCTCGGCTTGCCAGCCAGAAGGTCTATGTTCTTATGCCGGCTGGGACTGCCCGGGTGCTCTCTAGGATCTAGGATCTAGGATCTAGGATCTAGGATCTAGGATCTAGACAGCACCAAGTCTCCATGCGCATCCTGCCTTCTCAGAAGAGCGCCCCCTGGGAACACCTGGTGCCATTCACAGCTCTGCTTCATTCTAAGAAACCCTGCCTAGACCAAGACCAAGTGAAACTTGTCTAGCAAAAGTGCTCTTGAAATTAGACTGTAACTTCTCAAAAGGATACATTTCAGGGTCCTGTTTTTCTCATTTTTTAAAAAGTTATGAAGTATATCATAAAAGGAAATATATCATCGTTTTATACCAATATATCTCACCTATGCACAGCTTAAAATGTAGTTATAATATGAAACCCCACGTGCCCACCATCAGCTGGAGAAAGCACAATGTGGGCACTCTCCAGGTGTGTGCCCCTTGCCTAAAGCACGCTGTTTCTGAGCAGAGCATTTTGAAGGGCGTGCTGAGACCATCCTCTCAGGCAGTAGGGGGTGAAGGCTAGCCTCCACGAGAGGCCGCCCAGGTGTGATCCCTGCTCTCTGGTGCCCAGTTCCTTTGCTACCTGCCAGGCAGGTTCATACCCAAAGTTCTACCTCCCTAGGAATCCCTGAGCAGCTGTGCCGAGATGTGATGACCCCTTGTTCTGAGAGTATCTTCAAGGAGACCAGGGAATTCAGAGGAGGTGATGTCAGGCCCGGTGATAAGCAGTGTATCAGCTGCTAACGCCCAGCCTGCCAGCCCTTCCTGGGAGGTTATGAATAGTCAAGCCTCTTGGGTGAAGAGTGGCGGAGGGGCCATGGAGGAGGCTGCCACAGCACAGGAACAGGGCCCTGGACTCAGAGTCAGGATCCCTGGGTTCTGATCCTGGCTCAAGCACTTTATAAGCTGTGTGGCCTTAGCCACTTCACCTTGCCCAGCTTCATTCACTGATTTATTTATTTAGAGACAGGGCCTTGCTCTGTTGCCCAGCCTGGAGTGCAGTGGCACCATCGTGGCTCACTGCGGTCTTGAAATCCTAGGCTCCAGTGATCTTCCAGCCCCAGCTTTTCGAGTAGCTGGGACTATAGGCATTCACCACCATGCTTGGTTAGTTTTTTCTTTCTATTTTTTTTTTTTTTTTTTGAGATGAGGTCTTGCTATGTTGTCCAGGCTCACCTTGACCTCCTGGCCTCCTTCTGCCCTGGACTTCTAAAGCGCTGGGATTACAGATATAAGCTGCTATGCCCAGCTATGTTTTTTTTTCGTTTTTGTAAAGATGGAGTCTTACTATGCTTCCCAGGCTGTTCTCAACCTCTTGGCCTCAAGTGATCCTCCCACCCTGGCCTCCTAAAGTGTTGGGATTATAGATGTGAGCCATGGGCCCAGCTTTTACTGGTTGCATTTAAAGAAAGTCATACCTCACAGGATTTTGTCATGAGGATATACCCCACTGTGTGGTATGGCATCACTGTGACAGGCCATAGACATGAGAGGTGTCTGCTCATTCTAGGGGAGGATTCAGCTGGACACCTTGTATTCTACTGGCCCAGGGAATAGCAGCTGGACTCTGATGAGTGGCTACTGAATGGAAGCTGTGTCTAGAAAGCTCCGGGCCCCCTAGACCCCAGGCTCTTAAAGGGCCTGGTTCTGCTTTTCATGGATAGTGCTTTGCAGGGTCTGGGGTGTCACCATGGGGCAGATGCAGAGGGGGGCTTGGAGCATCTTTGGGCTACCCACCTCTTCCATAGACTCCCGTCTTCTCACCCTCCCCCACCTCCCTGCCCCATTAGCACTTGCTCCTGTCTCAATATCTCTTCACCCCTCTTCTTGGTACCTTCCCTTAGCTTTTCTACATGGACAAAACAAACTGCTGGGTCCTTGAAGGAGTTCTACACCATTATCTAGAGACCTCGTCCATTCCTGCCCCACTACTGATCAGCTCTGTGACTCGGGGAGGGTCACTCCTGTCACCCACATTCCCCCTGGGGTCCCTCCACTTCCTGCTCTCTCCATCTCAGCACTGCGGGAGGAAGATGAGACCAGAATGGAGGCGAAAATCCATGATGGTTAGGGAATGCTGCTGAATGCCAGGGTGGGTCGGGCAACGGAGAGGAGCTGGAGATCAGGACCCGAGATGGCAACATCTAAGAGCCAGCAGTGAGAACTCCTCTCTCCATGTTCCTCTCCAGGTTCTCATATTACTCAAGATCTTTTCCCCTCCTGCCCCTTCTGCATCAGGGTCACTTACCGTGAGAGAGTCACCCAGGGCCCCAATGACACTGATGTCAGCCGGCTTCAGCCTGTGAACTGAGAATACAAGCAGGAGTGAGTGGAAAATGGGGACGGGGTGTCTAAGAAAGCACTGGACCTATCTGCTCTGAAGCAAAGGAATATCTTCCAGGATAACAAAGAAAAAGTCAGTTTTTACCAGCAGGACACCTTGGATAAAAGACAGAAAAAACCCATCCTTGTCAATGGGCTCTGCAACGCCAGCCATGGAGCCTGAGCGCCAGCTTCTTCTCTGGGGCACCTGGACACAGGAACAGGAAGCTGAAAAGCTGGACCCTGCTTTAAGCAGGGAGCTGTGCTTGCATTTGGTGAGACCTGATGCTACCAGCTGAGTAGTGGCAGGCCCTTGGCAGGGAGATGTGGGAGTGGGGAAGGAATTGCCATGAAAATAAAACCAATACTTCATCTATCCTAGGATGTGATGATATTTGGGATAATATATTACATCATTCCATAAAAATCAGTTCAGTTTCTCTAAAGTGAAAGGGGAATACTTTTATACCATTGACTATTTTTTTAATTGAGAGAAAATTTACATAACTAAAATTAATCATTTAAAGGTGAACGTTTCTGTGGCATTTGGTACATTCACAATGCTGTGCAACTATCCCCGCTGTCTAGTTTTGAAACATTTTCATTACCCCAAAAGGAGACCCTATATCCATTAAGCGGTCCCTCCCCATTTCTCCCTCCTCCCAGTCCCTAGTAACTAGTAACCTGCTTTCTGCCTCTATGGATTTATCTATTCTGGATATTGCATATAAACACAATCATATGTGACTTTATGTCTGGCTTCTACTTTGCATAATGTTTTCAAGTTTCATTTATGTTATAGTATGCATCAATACATTCATTTCATTTGAGACAAGGTCTCACTCTGTCACCTAGGCTGGAGTGCAGTGGCACGTGATCATAGCTCACTGCAGCCTCAACCTCCTGGGCTCAAGTGATGCTCCCACCTCAGCCTCCTGAGTAGTTGGGATTATAGGCATGCACCACCGTGCCCAGCCAATATTTTTTAATTTTTGTAGAGAGAGAGTCTCCCTGTGTTGCCCAACTCCTGGCCTCAAGTGATCCTCCTGCCTCAGCCTCCCAAAATGCTGGGATTACAGGCATGAGCCACTGAACTCTGCCACTTCATTCCTTTTCATTGTTGAATGATATTCCATTGTATGGATAGACCACACTTCTGTTTATCCATTCATCCATCGATAGGCATTTGGGCTATTTCTGCTTTTTGGCTATTGTGACTGGTATTGCTCTAAATGCCTGTGTACAAGTGTTTGTTTGTATGCCCGTTTTTAATTATTTTGGTATACCCCTGAGAGTGGAATTGGTGGGTTACATGGTAATCCTATGGTCAGCTTTTTGAGGAACCATCAAGTTGTTTTCCACAGCTTGATTATATATATTTTTTGTCTTTTGAGTTTAAGCATACTATGTGATGTGGCAGCTATTAACTCACAGGACAAATATACTGAACACCAAGCAGCGGCTGGGTACTTTGGAGACTACACAGGGATAAGAAATGGATCCCAGCACTTTGGGAGGCTGAGGCGGGTGGATCACAAGGTCAAGAGATCGAGACCATCCTGGTCAACATGGTGAAACCCTGTCTCTACTAAAAATACAAAAAATTAGCTGGGCATCACCGTGCGTGCCTGTAATCCCAGCTACTCAGGAGGCGGAGGCAGGAGAATTGCCTGAACCCAGGAGGCGGAGGTTGCGGTGAGCCGAGATCGCGCCATTGCACTCCAGCCTGGGTAACAAGAGCGAAACTCCGTCTCAAAAAAAAAAAAAGAAGGAAATGGAGAATGCCGTCAAAAAGCTCACCAGCTAAGGAGAAACCCAGAAATAGCCATAGTTATTATAATGTAAGGCTGATAAACACTAAAGAGAGGTGTGAAGTGATGTGAGGTTATAGAGCTGGAGTGATGATCTCCCCCAGGGGACCTGCGGAGGGGGTCACAGCAGGCTTCACGGAGAAGGTTGTGTTTGAATTAAGCCTCAAGAAATAAGAGGAGGAGGAGGGAGAGTGAGTCTGGGTGAGGGAGGGAAAAGCGTGATGATAGATGGTTGTGGTATGGTCAAGCTTGGCTGTCTCGAAAGCCCAGCTAGTCACACAGTTTGGCTTGCATGAAGCGTATATGAGAAAGCAAAGAGAAAACCACCTTGGAAAGGTAGGTTAGGGCCACACGCCTTTTATGCATGGCTAACAAGTTAGGAGTTTAACATAGATATTGCTATATATGTAATGACCCACATACACACACAGGTATTCTACCTGCCTACCCCTTTACCTTATAGACATAAGAATGTGAATCCTATGCATTTGGGGGACCACGCCTGAATTCCTTAAGCTGCACATAGCTTGATCTCTCAAGTCCCAAGCTCACCTCCCACTCCCCAGGTCACCCTGACTTGGCCACACGTCCGCCCTTGCCAATGCACTTCTGTCCTGTCTCATGGTGCAATGCTGCACTAAATTGTTGAAATAGCTCTTGTGGTTTGGAAGAAGCCTAGTACAGAGTTTGTACCAGGGAGCGGCCCACCCTGGCGGGGAGAAGGCCGTCATTTCAGTGGGCCATTGCTCATGAGGGATAAACTAAAAGTCATCTGGAGGAGGCTTTCTCAACAGCCTTCTTTGCCAAAGAAGGTTTATAAAACCTTCAGCATAGCTGGGCACAGTGGCTCTGCCTGTAATCCCAGCACTTTGGGAGGCCAAAACGGGCAGATTACCTGAGGTCAGGAGTTCGAGACCAGCCTGTCCAAAATGGTGAAATCCCATCTCTACTAAAAATACAAAAATTAGCCAGGCGTGGAGGTGTGCGCCTGTTATCCCAGCTACTTGGGAGGCTGAGGCATGAGAATTGCTTGAACCTGGGAGGAGGGGGCTGCAGTGAGTCGAGATTGAGTCACTGTACTCCAGCCTGGGTGATAGAGCTAGACTCTGTCTCCCAAATTAAAAAAAAGCCTTGAAACACAGGACGAGATGATTTGGGACGAGATGATTTTGACACAGCTGGACTACATACAACCCACAGCACCCATCAACATCCAAATCATGGCTGTGGAATTATACCCATGCAGGAAGCCGGATTAGCATTGAGTGGAAAGCATACTCAAGGGACTTCCAGGTCTCGTCCACCTTCTTCAATACTATCTGCCAATGGGGACAGCCACTCCCAACGAGGATTTGCTCTCATTGGACAAGTAAAAGTTCTTGCCTCTTTCTGTGAAAGAATACAAGCCCACACATACATAGTTGTAAATGTATGTCTGCAAAATATATAGCTCAGTGGCCCTCAAACTTGAGGCTGCATCAGAATCACCTGGAGAGCCTGTGAAAACAGATGGCTGGGCCCCACCTTCGGAATTTTTGGCTTAATGGGTCTGGGGTGGGCCCAAGGATTTGCATTTCTAACAGGTTTCCAGGTAACGCTGATGCTGCTAGTCCAGTCTGGGTACCACATTTTGAGAACCACTGACAGAGACACATGATTATCAAAGCCGTTGACTGCAGTCGAGTACTGAGCTTGGACCTGAAAAGCCTGGAATGAAGCCCAGGAGGCAGACGCTGCAGTGAGCTCTGATCATACCACCGCACTCCAGCCTGGACAACACAGTGAGCCCGTCTCTAAAAAAATAAAAATAAATAAGTAGATATATGGCTGCATGTGACGGCTCACACCTGTAATCCCAGCACTTAGGGAGGCCAAGTTGGCAGAATCACTTGAGCCCAGAAATTCGAGACCAGCCTGGGCAACACAGTGAGACTTCTTCACTAAAAAAGAAAGAAAGACTAGAGCTGTTTCTCCCATGTATACATATAAATTGTCTTGTGCCTCTCACAACTGTAGCTGCCACTGCAAAGCCTGATGACAGCTCCGCCTCTTAGAGTCAAGAGCCACTGAGTGTGTCTTTCCTCAATGTTGTTTCTCCTCCACCTTGCCATGCCTTGAATCCAGCCTTACATCACACATACATACACACACACACACCTGCATCATGTACACATATATACACACACATGCATCATGCACAGATACACACATCATGCAGATACACGAAATCATGCAAATACATCATGCACACATACATACACACATCGTGCACACACACACATACACCATGCACACATCATGTACACACACACATCTTGCACACATACACATCACGCACACATACACACCATGCACACATATACCATGCACACACACACACATGCACATACACATGCACACACATCATGCACACACGCACACATACACCATGCACACATACACATCATGCACACACACATGCACACATACATACACACACAGGCACGTATACACATTCACACATACACACACGTACATCATGCACACATACATGCACGTGCATCATGCATATATACATACACACACATACACATGCATCACACACACACACACGCTTCTACATGATTGTAGAGTGCTTGGCTGTTCCCAGCTGTCCACAGCTACACCATGTGGTTCGAAGAACCATATCAAATCACAAAGCCAGCTGCACACATTAGCCCATGTCCACCAGGCTGGGCAGGAGAACTTTAAAAAGAGCTCTTCTCAAAGAAATCAGGCTATGGAGTTAAAAAGGCAACAAAACAAAAAACAAGACCCTCCCCCTCCAACACTAGAGTAGTTTATTTCAGCTCCTGGTGATGACAGTCAAGCACTATATTCTTACTGCCATAATGTAGCAGTGAATGTGTACAGTGAATCCTGTGCTTACTAGCTAGTGTGCAAAGGTTAGGGGAAATCTTTGGGGCTGGTAAAATATGGAAGAGATGGATACATTTGCTTCAAAAGTATTTTCATTACAGTTTGCTAAACAGGCAGCTGAAACCTACCATTCCTGTCTAAATTTGTAGCAGGCAGAACACACACACACACACACACACACACACCCCTATGTTTATGTCTATGTGTATGTACATATGTATAGATAGACTGATTTGTCTATGGTCATACCATCCTGAGCCCGCCTGATCTCATGTGATAGACTGGTTGATTGTGCTGGGGGTGGTTCTCCAGTTGGCCATTCTGAAGGAGTCTCAGTAAGAGATACAGTAATAAACCAGATGAAGCAAGCCTAGGTGGGAGGAGCTGACTTAATCTGGGATTTTATTGTTAAGATAGAGCACATCGCATTTCATTGGACTAATTTTCCGTAGACCTTGATTTGAGGTTTGTTAATGTCATCATTAATGACAAACACAGCTTAGAAATACAGCAAAGCACTTTAGCATTTGCTCTCCCTGGAAAAAAAACTATTTAGTGATAAGATTAAATTTGTGTGGACTGATTAACTAAACATTATCTGGTACAAATTGTCCACCACCTTGAGAGAAGTTGATAAACACACCATTAACTCATCATGATTTCCACAGAGGGGGCCTCTTATCTGAAGGCCATTCAAGCCATGATGAAGTATCATGAATAGCAAGGAAATTGCACATTAGACTATAGAATGGGGACACTGCCCACTGTCCACGAAGGTTAAACCCAGGAGACAGGCTTGGCATGCTGGTTGTTTGTCTTGTGTAACCCAGCAACTTAAACCACGCGGGGCCCTAATCTGAAAAACATACTTTCTCTCCATTGTCACCATCTGTTGCCCAACCTATTTGCCGTCTCATTTTGGGGACTTATGTAAAGAATTCCACAATGGCGGTAAGCAGCTGCTTCAAGACTGGAACCATGTTTTGCCTTTGGAGTCTTCAGTGTGACTTTATATGAACCAATGTGTGTGTGGGAGCTCAATAAATGTGTTAACTGGAATTAAAGGCTAAGTGACTCTGTGACAGGGACTTTACAGATCTCAAAATTTTAGATGATGAAAACCATAGGGCAGGGAAGCACTCCTCTAAGTGTCTTGGGAGAGTTTGAACTTGCCCAGTAGGCTGATTGTGCACAGAGATAAGCAGGCTGTTATTTTCCACAGGGCATCATTCCTTCCTAATGACAGGGTAGGTCAAGTCACAAGACCCCCGAGTAACAGCCTCAGGACCTACAGTGGACACTGCACTGCTGGATCATGATGACGCGGTACCCCTAGTGAATGACCACCCAGTGCTGTAACCTGACCATTTTTCATATTGGCTTTTGAAGAGCTAATTTTAGCCAAATGGGTCAAACCAATGACATCAGAGGCTTAGCAAGGAATTGATGGCTTAAAATAAATGAATGAACTGATCTGATTTATACTATTGGTGACAGTAGCATGTAATTAGCTTTGTGGATACCTACTTGCAAAAGCTGAATTTTTCCCACTGTGTGGAATTCTCAATTAAGATAGCCACCTTCATCAGAAAGTCAACAAGCCATGTCCCCTGATTCCTCACTGTCACTCTTTTATTTGCAAAAAGTGACTCCTTTTCTCAGTGGGAAAATCCTAAGCCAACTAATAGGTCCAACATATTTTTCTTGATTATGCTAACTATGTTAGGGAGTGGGCCATCTAGCAACAGAACTTGATGTGTTTACAAAGTTGTAAAGTCCATAGGAAGGAGCACATGGCAAATTGCATGTATGCACTGACTAGGAGGAAAACATTCCAAGTTTTTAGTTTTTATTGGCTACCCAATACCAGTTGGTTATAAAATATCACCTACATTAACTCTATGCATCTCATCCCAAGGCCTCATAGGTCAGTGGATAAAGCACATCACTCAGGAACTCTGAAGTGCACTCAAAATGAGGCACGCGAGTCGCCAGGGCCATGGCCTGTTGATGACAGGTAGCATTCCGTTTTGAAACATCACTTTCAATGATGTTTAGATCCATGTATCAGTTTGGAGAAGCACTCAAAAATGAGACTATAAAGGTTTTGGAAAATAACTTTGGACCAGTATGGTAGCTTATGCCTATAATCTCAGCATTTTAGGAGGCTGAGGTGGGGGGATCATTTGAGCCCAGGAGTTCAAGACCAGCCTGGGCAACATAGTGAGACACTGTCTCTACAGAAAATTAATAAAATTAGCTGGGCATGGTGGCATGGGCCTATAATCCCAGCTACTCAGGAGGCTAAAGTGGGAGGATCTTTTGAGCCACAGAGGTCAAGGCTGCAGTGAGCTGAGATTGCACCACTGCACTCCAGCCTGGGCAACAGTGTGAGATTTCGAACAAGGGGAAAAAAAAAAAAAAAAAAGTAACTTTGAAGGCCAAACAGTTATTGTAAAAGATATTCTTAGAGAAAAATTGTTTTCATGAAAGGCATTTTGGTCTAGTTGATTTTTCAATATCTTTTACAATCCTAGGGATTGTTGATCTGATGATTTAGAAATACACATTTGATTAGTTCAGCAAACATTTATTGGGCTTCTACCATGTGCTTGAGTCACTGAGGTATAAAGATAAGGCGAACTGCTCTTATGAGACATATATCAGATTATTTTGATTAGAAACATGATCTCCAGAAGAGTGGATGACCTCACCAGAAATATATTATTAATATCAAAGGAAAATAATAATACGGGCCTGTGCTAAGTCTTTTTGCCTACCCCATCAGTCACAGGGATGGTTAGAATGTTCAATCAAGATCACTGACACATGGCCAGGCATGGTGGCTCACGCCTGTAATCCCAGCACTTTGGGAGGTCAAGGCAGGTGGGTTACCTGAGATCAGGAGTTCAAGACCAGCCTGGCCAACATGGCAAAATCCTGTCTCTACTAAAAACACAAAAATTAGCCAGGCATGGTGGCAGGCACCCAGAATCCCAGCTACTTGGGAGGCTGAGGCAGGAGAATCACTTGAACTAGGGGTTGGGGGCGTGGAGTGGAGGTTTCAGTGAGCCAAGATCACACCACTGCACTCCAGCCTGGGTGACAGAGCAAAACTCTTGTCTCAAAAGAAAAAAAAAGATCACTGGCATGAGAATGAAACGTATTTTTTATTATTGGCCAGTTAACTGTGGCCATTTTTCTGAATGACACTTTCCAGGTGAGACTCAGAAGTGCATCTCTGAGTGCTGACCCCAGGTGGAAAGAGAGTGTTTGGGTCAGGCCCACCATCGTCAGATCGGGGAGCCTAAGTCTACCCGTGTTGTTATTGTATAAGTGGCTCCTATCACCAGTGTATCTCAGATCTTAAGGCCTTGAGATTTCTTGATCTTCAATCTTCAAGTGCTGATAAACACAATAATCTTCAGGGTCAGGGAATAAGGAAGAGGTTTACATTTTACCTAGCTTTTGGATGTTGAGATATGCTCTAATGGGTTGGTTGGTTACCACTGCCATAACAGAAGCATCATCTAGACAGATTACAAAATGCTTTAGAGAGCATTCTTTCAGAATGATAAGATTAGAAAGGGAATGGATATTACTTTGCTGTAAATGTGTGTGGCTAGTAAAACATTCAGATGTTCTCTCTAGATCAGATGAGTTGGTTTATGCCTGTAATCCCAGTGCAGGAGGATCTCCTGAGCTTGGGAGTTTAGGACCAGCCTGGGCAACAATAAGACCCTATCTCTTAAAAAAAAAAAAAAAAAAAGTCAGGTGTAGTGGCACATACCTATAGTCCCACCTACTTGGGAGGCTGAGACAAGAGGATCACTTAAGCCCAGGAAGTTGAGGCTGCAGTGAGCCATGATCATGTCACTGTTCTCCAGCCTGGGCAACAGAGTGAGACACTGTCTCAAAAAAATGTTCTCTCTCTCTCTGTATGTCTGTAGACATACACCTATATATACATATATCTACCTATCTGCATCTGTAAAAACACACATCTGTCAGCTGGGCACAGTGGCTCACACCTGTAATCCCAGACCTTTGGGAGGCTGAGGCAGGTGGATCACCTGAGGTTGGGAGTTCAAGGCCAGCCTGACCAATGTACAGAAACCCTGTTTCTACTAAAAATACAAAATTAGCCAGGCATGGTGGCACATGCCTGTAATTCCAACTACTCAGGAGGCTGAGGCAGGAGAATCACTTGAACCCGGGAGGCAGGGGTTGCAGTGAGCTGAGATCATGCCATTGCACTCCAGTCTAGGCAACGAGAGCAAACTCTGTCTCAAAAAAGCAAAAAGAAAAGCCACACACACACACATCTATCTATCTCTATCTGTATAAACACACATCTATTTATCTGTATCTATACCTACTCTACCTATTTTTGAGTAATGGTGTTTACTATGGGGGGGTCCACATAGAAAGCTCATAATTTATTTCTGCTGATAACGTCCTGCTAGTAAACTAATAGGAATGACTTGTCACCATGTATGGGGGGAAATAAAGACTCAATGTGTGTATGTAAGATCTATATCCCTATTCCATTCTTCTGCAACTTAGGACAAGAGTCCATACATGCCAAGGTTTTGGTCAGGATATTTTTAACTTCCCTGCTAGTCACGTGGCTTACTTGAAGTGTGGAGAGCTACGGCATGTGTGAAGGGCAGCCAAGCATTTATTTGCTCTCCTGATGCTCAGCACAAGGAGACAATCTGACTACAAAGATTTGCATCCCCCAAAGATTCTTGCTAGGCACTATGACAACCCCAAACTTAATTTTCTGTCTTTTTTGATAGTCCTGAGGCCATGAGAGGCAATAGATCAATTAGAATGTAAACTGCATGAGAGGCAATAGATCAATTAGAATGCAGGGAGGCATTCGACAATCCTCTAATACACAAATAAGTAAACAAATGAACAAATAAATGGACATATGAGTCCCCCTTTAGGACCAACATGGGAATCTACAGCACTGCTACAGATGCACCTGGACTGATGTTTTGAGTCACTCAGGTCTCCAAATGGCCATAAATTCCCAAGGTTGCATGCCGATAGCTACCACCCCCAAGCTGCCTTGCCTGGAGGAAAAGGTACAGCCCTCAGGCAGATGGTCTTTGGGAAGGTTGCTGATGACTGCCTGGAATGTCCCATGGGTCTCATTTTTATGGCCCAGCAACAGACATTTTAGAAAAACTGAGAGGCAGTGAAGATGGCATGTTCATAAGATGCTTTTCTGCTCTGCGTGGTGTTCAAGTGCATTCTGCTTGTGAGTGATTCTGCACGTGACTCAGGGACTGTGGACTGGCTATTTCTGCTTTCCCCTTAAAGGTAGTTTTGCTCTTTTGGAAAACAAATTCACCCATCAAGGCTTCAAGGCAGGGACAATGACAATTCACACAACTAACACTGGGTTCTCTGTAGAACATGGCCTGGTACAGCGTTACTGCTCAATAAATGCTTTCTGATAATGATGTTATCATATTTTAGTTAAAGAGTAATCAAACACAGGCGTGACCTTACAAATATACATACAGAGGTGTTTCCGTTGTCCCTGAGAAACCACTTGAGAGTATTTCAGATTAAGTGGAAACCCCTTACTGGGCTGATTTCAGGCCTCAAATGAATTTGAAAGTCACTGGATGCAAGCTGTGTACCTGAGGTGGGAACTGTATCGGAGGGTTCCCTGTCAGGACATCTGATTTCCGTTCCTTCTCTTACCTGAAATGAGACACAGGGAAATAAGGAAAACGGATTTTGCTAAATTGGAAATGGGTGAGAAGTGAGGCCTCTATTTTGGAAACTATCATTTAAGATAAAGTAAAACGTTGATGTCTTTTAAGATTTCTCCCTCTCCTTCAACACTCTCAGCCAATTGTCCACATCTTTTCCAAGTGCTCCCAAATCTGCTCCCTCCTCTCCAGAGCCTCTGCCTCCACCAAAGTTCAGGCCTCTGTTATTTCCTTCCAGGATACTGCAATGATTCACCAGCATCATGGCCATCTCTCCCCCAGACTTGCTCCCCACCCTTCTGAATCTGTCCAGAGTGGTCATTCTCAGCATGATCTGATGTGTCACTCCTCTGCCCAAGGCCTCAGTGATGAAGGGATTATCTGTGTCGTTTATTATTGTGTCCCCAGAGCCTAGAACAGTGCCTGGCATAGTAGATGCTCAACAAATATTTGTTAGTTGAACAAATAAATTACTACTCTGTATTAACTTTGGAAAAAAGTCCAATCTCCCTAGCATGGCCTAAGAGGCCTCTCAACATTCTAAACTACCAGCCCTTGCCCCAAGTCTCCATGTTTCCCTGCGTCCAGGCCTTTGCCCAAGCAGCTACCTCTCCCCTTTCCCTTTCCTCCCTTCCATTTGCTCACCCTTCCTTCCCTTCATCTGCCTCAGGCTTAGTCACCCTTCAAGACTGAGGTCATGAGCTTCCTTTGGAAAGCCTTCTTCAACTTTCTCCTGTCTGAGCTAGTTTCTCTTCCTCTGTGTTCCGAGAATACCCCACGAAAACAAGCATCGCAGCACGTGTTACATTGCGCTGTAATTGTCTGTTGACTTGTCTGTTGTACCAGACTGAGTTCCTTGGGACAAGTCATATTTTTAATTTACATTTAATCTCTCATACCTGGTATCCATCCATCCACCTATCCATCCATTTTTTTCATTCAGCAAATAGTTATTGGTGCCTACCCTGAGTTCCTGCCTCACTGAGCTTATTCTCTAGTGGTACACAGCAGACAGTCAGTAAATGTGTCCTGAAGAAATGTATCACTGTTTTTATCAGACGATAATAATAGCAATACTTATATAGAGCTCATGATATGCTAGATTCTATTATAAGTCCTTCATACTTACTGACTTATGACAATTTATTAATAACTCCACAAGATAGGACTATTAATGTCATTATTTCCCAGATTAAAAAACTAAGGCACAGAGAGGTTAAGTATCTTCCACATTGACACAGAGCCCATAAGTGGAAGAGTCTGGATTTGAACCCAGAGCTGGTTACTTTACCTCATTGTGCCATGCTGCGTGTCAGGTGTGCCCTCATTGCCATACAGGTTAGCATGAATCAAGCTGATAAATGCAGTCTTTCACACTGTGTCTCTCAGGGTGGAGGCCCAGGCCATCAACTCTGCCTCCACTACTTGGAGTAAATCTCACCCTTTTCCATAAAATAGGGAGGCAGGGATGTCACTAGGATCAAATTGGTCTGAGCACACCTCAGTCCTCTGTTCTCTCAGAAAGAAGAACATCAACCTTGACTGTTCCTTGCTTCCCCAGAGGAGCGTGGGGTGCCCTGCCTAATCTCCAGGGGAAGTCTCGGGGGAGACTCCTGAGAAAAGCAGTGAGCAAGGCCTGAGTGCCTGTCAGGCGCCCCGACAAGTGTGGACCAACTCAAAGGCTCTCGAGCTCCACACTCTCTGGATCCAGATCTCACCACGTTTCTCTGCCCTTTCTTAACTTGCTCTTCAGATAAAGTTCTCAGGTGAGTTTAGAAGAACTTGTCAGAGATTTGAGGGGGCGGGTTCAGAAGAATTTGTCTTACATCACAACAGACTGGGAACAGGAGGTGCTGGGCAGCTCACTGTAAAGCCCCCCATGCTGGTTGCGGAGGCAGCTCTGAAGATGAACCGTGGGGGAGACCTGCTTCCAGGCACCGAGGGGTCAGTCACACACTGGATCCTTCGCCCTCCCCCAGCCGGTCCTGACTGAGCCTCAACCGTCTGTGGCAGCCCTCCACATGCCCAGAAGCAGCTGATGTTCTAGGACTTTAAGAACCACATGGAATGGCCGGGCGCAGTGGCTCAAGCCTGTAATCCCAGCACTTTGGGAGGCCGAGGTGGGTGGATCACAAGGTCAGGAGTTTGAGATCAGCCTGGCCAACATGGTGAAACCCCATCTCTACTATAAATACAAAAAATTAGTTGGGCATGGTGATGCCTGCCTATAATCTCAGCTACTCATGAGGCTGAGGCAGGAGAATCACTTGAACCCAGGAGGCAGAGGTTGCAGTGAGCTGAGATCACGCCATTGTACTCCAGCCTGGGTGACATAGTAAGACTCTGTTCCCCTCTAAATAAATAAGTAAGTAAGTAAGAAAGAAAGTTTTGTATTGAGGTTGCAAACCTGGTCAGTTGATCTGCTTTAAAATAATCCAGGCTGAGTTCGGTGGCTCATGCCTATAATCCCAGCACCTTGGGAGGCTGAGGCAGGTAGATCACTTGAGGTCAGGATTTCAAGACCATCCTGGCCAACATGGTGAAACATCATCTCTACTATAAAAATACAAAAATAGCCAGGCATGGTGGTGTGTGCCTGTAGTCCCAGCTACTCAGGAGGCTGAGGCAGGAGAACTGCTTGAACCCAGGAGGTGGAGGTTGCAGTTAGCTGAGATCACACCACTGTTCTCCAGATGAGGCAACAGAGTAAGACTCTGTCTCAAAGAAAGAAGAAGAAGAAGAAGAAGAAGAAGAAAGAAAGAAAGAAGAAAGAAGAAAGAAGAAGAAGAAGAAGAAACCACGTAGAAGGTTTCAAAGACTTGGCGAGGAGAGCAGCCCCTGGTTTATCTGCATGTTTGTCAATTACAGAAACTCTTTCCCTACCTCAGGCTTCCCTTCGGGTTTCTGCAGTCTGGTCAGGTAGTTGCTGTTCTTGTAGGTGAACAAATAGGGGCTCTCCTGCAGGGAAAGGTGACATGTTAGAATCGTGACCCAGAAGTCTGTATCCCTTAATTATCAGGCTTGAACATCCAGCAATGCTTTAGGCCAACTCAGAACATTCACATCACCCTTCCTAATGCTTTCGCATTTCCCGTTTGTGATAGCCAGTCTCTCCTGCTCTTTACCCTGGGGGTTCATGCTACCAGGCTAAGTACATATATTTCGATGAGCAGGAAATCTAATTTTAAGCTTCTTGGCAGCCAAAGCAAAAAGGAAAACACGGTGAATTGTATACTTCTTATTGATAGTAACAAAAAACTTACTAATTCATCAAGAAAGCCAAATACTTGACTATTGGGAACAATGATAGAGTCTCATTCATTTATGTCCAGTTATTTTCTCATCCACTTATTTGGAAACATTAATTACAAGCCTACTACATATTAGACACATATTTAAGATGTAGTCAAAATGACCCACTCTCCAGGCTCTTAGATAGTCATCATCTCTCCCTTCTTTCCCACTCTGAGGTAGAGGCAGGTCTGGAAATGGCATCTGGGACAGAGGGCCAGGACCCCCAGGAGATGCGTGGGGCAGCATATGGGGCCAGGTGAGCTGTGGCTTGTTTCTGTGCCTTCCATAGGCATGGAGGGGGCTGCGGTTTTGCAAAAACCGCTCTCATGGCGGCCTGGCACGGTGGCTCACGAGTGTAATCCCAGCACTTTAGGAGGCCGACGTGGGCAGATCACGAGGTCAGGCATTCGAGACCAGCCTGGCCAACACGGTAAAACCCCGTCTCTATTAAAAATACAAAAAAAAATTAGCCAGCCGTGGTGACACGTGCCTGTAATCCCAGCTATTCAGGAGGCTGAGGCAGGAGAATTGCTTGAAACCGGGAGGCGGAAGTTGCAGTGAGCTGAGATTGCACCACTGCACTCCAGCCTGGGTGACAGAGCGAGACTCCATCTCAACAATAACAAAGCTCTCCTGCCCCAGATGTAGGCATTAGGGCCGCTATATATGCAAAACTGTGTGCAGGCCCAGAAGAACCGAGCCAGGACTGTCTTGGGGCTCATATCCCAGGTAAGGCCCACTTCGAAGCAAAGCTTACTTGGCCACCCCACCTATGCCCTCGATTCAGTAAGAGTTCCCTCCCCTGCCCAGTCCCTCCTACCTGAGAGGGACACTTCATTGGCCTCTTGTGTTTTGTATTCAGTGGCTCATCTTTCTCTCCTGCTGGCTCCATCTAGAAAGCAACGGGGGCTTTAGAACAGGGAAGCTTTGTGCAGGGAGCAGCCTGCCAAGGCACCATTGAGAAAGACTCATGAGACCAGCAGCAGCACCAGGGAACGAATTAGAGACGCACATGTCCAGACCCCATCCCCAACCTACTGAGTCTGAAACTCTGGAGCTGGGGCGCAGCAGTGTGTCTTGTAACCAGCTCTCCAGGCGATTCTGACGCACACCCAAGTTGGAGAACCACAGCATGAGAGGACGCATCGTTTTTTTTTTTTTTTTTTTTTTTTTTGATATTGAAGGGACTTCCTAGTCTACCTCTCCTAGAAGGAAAAACTGCACAACAGAGGTTGAGGTGGCGCCCAGTCAGCCAGGGCAGAGCCGGGACTCTGACATCGTTGTCCTGGATCCAACCAAACATCATGCAGCTTTCTGATCACGTGGGGGCCAGTTACCCGGCTTGGCTTCTTGTCCCTCCTTGCTGCCCAGCTTCTGTCTGGCTCACTGATTAAAGTTCCCTTAGGAGAGCTGATGTGGGATGGAAGGGCAAGCGCATCCCTTTGCATAAAGCATGTGTTCTTTCCCAAGTCCTCCCTACAGCCTGTGCCCACAACCCAAATGTATATAAGTCCACGCACCACAGAGAATGGAAACCCTCTGTTCCCCGAAAACTGCCTTCACAGCTTTGAGTGAAGCAAGTTATGGGGCCTGGGTCAAGTCTCATGTCTTTCACATGCTCACAGATACAGTGACATGGAACACAGCACAGCCTCCACTCACAAACGGCTAGAGCATCTAGTGAGGCAGGAGTGGGTGGTGTGGTATCTGCTCTGAAATAGGCAGCTACTTAAATGACAACCATGAAGGCCATCAAATGACATCTAATAACACAGATAAAACCTTTATGGTATAGCAGCAGGAGAAACCAGCAGATTATCAGCTTAGTAAACGTATTAGAGATAGGCACGTGATTAGAGGAGAAAGGGATTTTTTTTTTCTTTGAGACGGAGTCTCGCTCTGTTGCCCAGGCTGGAGTGCAGTGGTGCAATCTCGGCTCACTGCAACCTCCACCTCCTGGGTTCAAGCGATTCTCCTGCCTCAGCCTCCTGAGTAACTGGGATTACAGGCGCCCACCACCTCGCCCAGCTAAGTTTTGTATTTTTAGTAGAGATGGGGTTTCACCATGTTGGCCAGGATGGTCTCTACTCCTGGCCTCGTGATCTGTCCGCCCCAGCCTCCCAAAGGGGATTACAGGTGTGAGCCACTGCACCGGCCAGGAGGGTTTTTTTAAAAGTTAAAAAGTTCTTTTTGTTGTTTTAACATGTTCGTTATACATATATAAACACTTCAAAAGAAAAACGCAGTGGCTTGGAGGGATTGTAGATTTCCTTCTGCACGTGCTATTTCCTACTGTTTGAGAACAGGTTTTACTATCATCTGGCTGCCCACAGCTGCTGGGCTCTGGTGGTAGCTCTGGCCCTCACCTCCCCTTGCAATCACTCTGCCAAGGGAAGTGGGAAGTTATTGGAAGGGGCAGCTGTCTGGCTCAGTCACAGCTTCCACCAGCCTCCATGAGGATTTCAGATTCCTCAGCGATGTCTTACCCCAGCATCTGTGCCCCAGTAAGCAAGAAACAAGTAAAGAACTTTATCCTTCGTGGAATTGGCTCTTCCCCAAACTGAAGGAGCATCAGATAAGGAGGTGTAATTAGCTGAACATTTGGAAAAGGAGTGGTAACTCTCTAGTTCAAGGCCGAGGGGAGGAACTGGACCCCATGCTTCTTTCTGTTTTATTCTGATGGTGGAGTCCGAGGTGGGAAGAACGCTTAAGCCCAGGAGTTTGAGACCAGCCTGGGCAACATGGCAAAACCCCGTCTCTACCAAAATACAAAAAATTAGCTGGGCATGATGGCACACGCCTGTAGTCCCAGCTACACCTAGAAACAAGGTCCTACCTGGAACATTCGAGACAAAGTGTTCAGCTGGCCTGGATGAGGGCTAGATCCACTTTATCAGAATCATTTAGATATAGCTCTTTTAAGGTTTCTTTCCAGATTCCATTATGGATTAAATTTTTGAAAGATTGGGGAAGGGTGGGCGTGGTGGCTCATGCCTGTAATCCCAGGCCAGCGCCCAAGCCCGGATGGTTCCAGGTATGTTTATGGGGGGTGCTGTCACCTCCCATGCTGGCGTGTGGAGCTTTTCCTTTGCTGGGCCTCAAAGCTCACCTGTGCTAGGGCTTGCAGGATGAGGGAGGGAGGATGCTGACGTGGCCTGAGCATGTGGCTTTGCGGGCTGCAGAGCTGAGAGCTCGCCTCCTTCCCCAACAGGTGTGTCCTTGGGGTGGCTGAGGACAGAGTGGTGGACCTGGATTCCCTGTGGTCATGGTGATTCTGCTGGTCCCTCTCTGCTCCCCACACAGAGGGCAGCCCTTACCTGTGTGTCTGTGAGGATGGACGCAGAACAGCCACACCTGCCTTCTACCTCGGTGTCCCAGTCCAGCCCAGCAAAGAATCACAGATGTGGCGGCAGAGACCCCTGTCCTCCCCACACCCGGAGGATGCAATTAGCAAAACCAAGGGTAGGAAGAGCCCAATGTCCCCCTGTATTTTCACAAGCCCTCGGGTGCTGGCTAAGGACGCTTAGACCATTTTGGCAGGTAGAGAAAATGGGTGCCCAGAAAGACCATTTGACTTGCCTCAAGAAACCACCGAAAGTGGGACTGAAACCAGAGCCCAGGTTTTCTGGCTCCGCCCAGTGCCCTTTGCCCTAAGCTGTTACCCCCCTCTCATGGCTGACTTCAGGTCTGCGGGAGCTTCTGATGGGTTTCAGCGGCTGTGCTGGATCCGGGAACTGTGGATGGTCTGGTATTTTGCTTGTGAGGAAACTAGAGACTGGGGGTGCTTGGGGGAACCCCTCCTATCCTGTCTCTCCTCTGTCCCCACAACCCTGCTGGCTGAGGCTGCAGGAACCTCGGGACTTGCACTGGGAAACTGGACTTGTTGCATGGGTCTGGAGACAGTGAGGTCACTGCTTACCTAGGAAAGCCACATCCTCCTCCTCTTCTGAGCCCTTGTGACACTCTCTGTGTTGAAGGTCTTTGGCCTTGAGGGTGAGACCTTCCATTCCCGTGTACCTGCCTGTTCTGACCCTTGAGTGGTTTTAAGAGACCGTGCATGCAGCGGACCTCACCCATATGCATGGGACATCACCTGGCTCCGTAAAGGCGGTTATTATTGCTGTTGCCACCAACATGAAGGACAAATAGCATGATGAAAGGGGAAAGAGAAAGGAATCCAGCCCTGTCCCTGGACCTGCCCTCTCCAGCTTCTCTGCCTGGTGCTCAAGGGCTTCTTTCATGCTCAGAGCCTTATTATCTCTGTATCTCTTCTCTTATCAGACAGGCCTCTTCCTGCCCTTGCTGCTGCATCTGACGCACTCTTCTCTCCATGCCCTTTGCTCACAAAGGTTGCTTTGCCTGGGAACACCCTCCCTGACCTCTGCCAACACATTCCGCAAAGGCCATTCAAATCCCCTCCTCTCGGCCGCCCCTGGCCTCATCCTTCACACTGCTTCCTGGTGCGCAGCCCAGCACGTCATGGCTGAGTCCCTGTTGACTCTTGTTCCTCCGGGCTGCCTGGCCCTTCCCAGCTACACCTGAAGCTTGGTGAAGACAGAGGCCACGTTTGGTGGGTCTCTTGTATCCTCCTTGGAACCGTGAAGGATATGGTGCCTCCAAGGGTGGGCCACGTTGCAGGTGTCCTTTTGTTGGTTGGGAGAAAGGCGGCAGGAGGGGAGAGATTCGGCTGAGCTGACCTTTTTACTGAAACTATAACAGGATTTCCCCAGATTCCAGAGGAATCTGAGGAGGGCTTGGGAGAATGGTCCCTGCTGGAAGGATCAGGTTCCTCTTCCCTGTCCATCATGGGATATTAGCAGCAAAGTGGGTTTCTGGAGACCTATTCCCTGCAAGGGCCAGGCACACTGACAAACGTCTCTGTTCAGAGAAATCAAAGGCCTTCTTCAAAGGACAGTATGTTTCCAGTATCAGGAACTGCTGGATACCCCTTCCCTCCCTCCACTCTGTCTCATGCTGGCTCGTGTGTGCTGAAATGCGGCTGGCCCTGGCACTTAGCACCCTACGTCAGTTGTGTAGATGGATCCACAAAAGAAGAAAAACAAATTTCTGTCACTAGAACCCTAAAAATAAGGCAGCTTGGATGGGAAGAAAATAAATGGCAAAATCAGGTCTCTGTCTGATGCCCTGGAAAGGTTCAAAGCCTTGACGTCACATTCCACCCCGACTAATCCCAGATCTCCTGGGGGGACCTCTGGAATCTGGGGAAATCCTGTGACAGTCACAGTAAAAAGGCCAGTCCATGTGGAGTGCTCACTGCTGGCCGGGGATGAGCTGTGCACTGGACAGGTTGGGCCAGGGGCTGGCCTGCGTTTTGCAGAAAGAGAATGGAGACCTGAGTGTACAGAGCTTGAGTGGTGGAATGAGAATTCCCACCATGCCTTCATCACGCTGAAGTCCATGCTTGTCCCAGGCACCACCCTGGGCCCTGACAACCGTACACACTGCCTAAGTGTGAGGCCAAGTGGGACAGGAACTCAACTCAAGTCTGTAAGGTCTTCCATACAGACTCTGAATAACGGCCCTGCCTTTGCAAAACCAGGGCTGAGGCTCCCCTGAGACCCTCGCTGTTTGCCGGCCTGGCCACAGCCCAGCACCCGCGGTAAGGCAAACTCCCAGGCAGTCAGAGACGGGCATCACCACGAGAGAGAAGCATCCCTGGGGGCCCACTACCATTGTCCTGGGACCCTCAGGCACCCTGCAGCCCCTCTCCAGCACAGTGGGCAGGGTGGACTCAGTGGCAGTGGAGACCCTGCCCCTCCTCTGTGGGCCCGGCCTACTCACCATCCTATTCCAGAGATGCAAGGCCAGCGTGGTAGAATTCGGGAGTGGGGGATCCCCCTGAAAGAGAACCAGATGAGAGCAGGACCCTTTGTCTCCCCAGGAATGCAATGGACCTGCTGCACACTTGGAGGCTGTCTCTGGCATAGAGTTGGGGTGGCCTGATCTGTCCAGGTCCTTTCCCTCAGCCCCTCCTCTCATCAACAACAGGGCATCCATAGGACCACTGTCTGGGGTGAAGGGCCCAAGGTCAGGGCCTGCAGGAGCAGGTGGCATATCAGGCAGCTCCATGTGGTCATGGGGTTCTCTGTGGCTGAACTCAACAGTGGGAAGAGGGGGTGGCAGGGACATGATTTGGGTGTGGTCTGCCTAGGAGGACAAAGGAAAGGCACGTGAAGCTAGTATGTCTCCTCATCCTCTTAAACCATCACTTTCAACACTGTTTATGGCCTGGAGATGGCACAAGGATTCTGACGGGCAGGAGCCAGGAGCCTGGAGGTGGGGACTGTCCCCAGACACGGGACTGAGGCTGTAGAGGCTGCAGAGACTTCGGCCAGCAAGTGTGGACCAAGTGCTACATGGTCTCGGTGGCCACTTGCCCAGTGACTTGGGGGAGGGGCAAGGGCAACTCAAATTCTCCTCCCAGAGATGGATGGAGAGGAGCTTGCAGGGGGAGGGGCAAGAGCTAGCATCCCTGGAGATTCTCTTCGGAATAACCATGATGGCCAAGAGGTACAAGCACTTCCGCAGCACCAGAAGCCACTCTACATCCTCCCAAGTATTAACTCATGTGGCTCTGATGGCCACCAAGAGGGAGGACGTGTTAATAAGCGGCCCTGAATTTATAGAACAGAGAGGTGGACACCTTGTCCAAGGTCACACAGCTGGCCATCTCAGAGCCAGGAGGCGAAGCTGGGCCATTCACCCCTGGGCTGCCCTGCCGCTAAGAGCCCGTCTCACGGGGGCTCTTCAGCCCTGTGGGGAAATTGTATAGGAAAGTATAAGAGACTATGGTGGTATTTCCCCCAAGGCTATGCATCCTGGGTTCAGGAGAGCTGAACTGGGCTGAGGCTTGTTGGGGTACGGGTGAGAGAAGGGGCAGGAGCAGATGTATGGCCCAGGCTTCCTCCCCACCACACTTCGTTTTTTTTGAGACTGAGTCTCGTTCTATTGCCCAGGCTGGAGAGCAGCGGCACAGTCTTGGCTCAGTACAGCCTCCACCTCCCAGGTTCAAGTGATTCTCGTGCCTCAGCCTCCCGGGTAGCTGGAATTACAGGCACCGACCATCATGCCCAGCTAATTTTTGTGTTTTTAGTAGAGACAAGATTTCACCATGTTGGCCAGGCTGGTCTCCAACTCCTGACCTCAAGTGATCCACTCGCCTCGCCCTCCCAAAGTGCTGGGATTACAGGTGTGAGGCAGCACACCTGGCCCCCACCACACTCTCAATGTGCCACACAGCCCCCACTTACCGAGGGTGGAGATGGGCTGGTCTCATAGAAGAAAGGCTGGAAAACCACCGTGAAGGACTCCTGTTCACTGTACCTGCTGGAGGCCAGGAGGCTGTTCCAGGCTTCCTGGAGAAGACAGCGGAGAGGCGCCCATCCAGGAGCATGAGCGAGGCGGAGCCGCCCAGGTCGTTCTCAGCAGCCCCGGGACAGAACCTCCCCTTCGCATTGTTCTCAAGTCTATTCTGAAACTCCCTCTTGTCTCACCCTTCAGGGCTGTTTGATAGCTAAGCTCAGTGTTCATTTGTCTCTGAAATGTCGGCATTAGGTAATACCTGAGACAGACCTAAAATATGTTCTCTGGAAGCTTAGGAACAACAAGACAGTCCAGCACGTGGCAGGGCCCCTGCCCTCTTCAAGAGCTAACTTCGGTCGAGGCAGGTGCCATTAACCACTCAAAAAGTGTTGCCATTTCCAGAGCGAGAGAAATGCCACGCAGCTTCAAATGTAATTTTCTTC